ACGCCGGTACCGGTGGACGCTCGTAGTAGACTACTGCGCATATTGCGCATGCGCTGTGTGCTCTCTTGCAAAACAAGAGGCGCCTGCGCGCATGCGCACTTAGGAGCGTCCAGTTTCGGGCGAGCGTCCAAATACGCCGGTACCGGTGGACGCTCGTAGTAGACTACTGCGCATATTGCGCATGCGCTGTGTGCTCTCTTGCAAAACAAGAGGCGCCTGCGCGCATGCGCACTTAGGAGCGTCCAGTTTCGGGCGAGCGTCCAAATACGCCGGTACACCCCCGCCGTGTACACGCCCCTGGTTTAGTGCATTATTTCTTCAGTTAAGGCAGATCGAGGGTATAGAGCCGTAGGCGAATGAGTTTATATTTAGCTTTATACTCCGTCTATGTCTCTTCCGATTTCACCAAAGCCTCGTGCATAATGAAAAACTATAAATTTCATAATATTCAGAAAAGTAATTAAACAAATTACTATGCCAGGGAAAATGTTACTATGCGAGCTAGAGGTCGTTGAGATCATTACGATCTTACATCCAATGTACAGTACATGCCACCTCTAGAGAATAGGATAAGAAAACTGAGTGAGAATGATTGAGTTACCAACGTTGACAACGTTGAATTCTATATTCTCTAGCTCTCCAAGCAGAGCGCGTCACTAATAAACGCACGTACTAGATCTAATCATCGCTATTTACAAGGATGGAGGAATGTATATATGGTCGCAATAGCCGTACGTGTATTTTACTTGTGAATTTTTCATGATTTTTGATTGTGAATAGTCTTAAAAGATTGCGTGCTGTAATTAATTTGCTAAATTTGGTTCATTAATATTCGAGTTTCTTCGTCATGTATTTCGTTCAGATAACAAATTTCATCGAGAGCGTGGGCCGTAGAGAGAGATCTCTCTTATGTAATGGATATGAGTTTGATTGAATTTAATGAGCAGTTGTGTAGCAATGCCCTTTACAGTGTTACCAGTCCGAAACCCTAACAGTATCCTAAATTTTGTTATTAATATTCGAGTTTCTTCATCATATATTTCGTTCAGATTAATGACAGATTCAGAAGTTTGGATGCAATGACTGTGCGTGCGTGCGTGTATGCGTGCGTGAGTATACCTGCATACGTGCGTGCGTGCGTGCGTGTGCATGTGCATGCGTGAGTATAGTGTATACCTTCTTACGCGCGTGCGTGCATGCGTGCGTTTGTGCCGCGCGTGCGTGCATGCGTGAGTATACCTGCTTACGTGCGCGCGTGCATGCGTGAGTATACCTGCTTACGTGCGCGCTTGAATCTTCCAAATAAGCACATGCGTTATTGTTAATATCTTTAGTTTTGAACTTCAGAATGCGGACTCCCATGTGACTTCCGTCTTCTTCCTTGTTCAAAAGTTAATTTCTACCCCTGATACAGTGATATAACCCTTGTCCGTTACGGAAACTAAACGTTTAATCTATGCGGAACTGTTCAGTGAAATATCACATAATGGCGCTATCTGTCATTTTAAATTGGCAGTGGATATTCAACTGTATGCAGCAGAGTATATCCACTTCCGATATTTTTCAGTACACCGCAATTGATTGGCCAATACGAAACCTTTTGAACACACATACTAACATATTTAACTATACTATAATATACTATAATACACTAAATATATACTATACTAACATACATAATACACATACATAAATATACTATAGCCAACCAGAAGTACTGTACGGTAAAATAGCGGAAGTGGATACTCTGCCGTATACGGTTAAATATCCACTGCGTTTTAAATATCGCAGTGGCTGGAGGTACGGCAGCCGTCGTTCGTTGAAGCCCCTTTTTGGCGTTAGGGTTAGGGTTAGGGTTAGGTTTAGGGTTAGGTTTAGGGTTAGGGTTAGGTTTAGGGTTAGGTTTAGGGTTAGGGTTCTAGCTCATCTAAACTCTCAAATCGTGAATTTATTTCCCAAGGCGTTATTTCGAAATCTGGCACCACCACCGCCATCTTTGTCTCGTTAAGTATGAAAGCGAATTGACTGCCGTACCCGTAGCCTCGAGACATTAAGATACGGCTGCAGCGCATGCGTGGTGTGACTGCCGTACCCGTAGCCTCGAGACATTAAGATACGGCTGCCGTACCCGTAGGCGTAGCCACTGCCTTTAAATATATATGGGTCAGCAATATTAATATATGCATGGACCGATAGTTCTACAACTTACAAGTTGTTTTGCAAACGCAAGTTGATATATACAGTGGCACAACAGTAGAAGTGTAATAAAGCGGTAGATTTGTGAACGTGCGTTCATATTACTTGCCTTATTTTAAGTTTTTACTGAGTCTCTACACGGGTCCCAATTAAGTAACTAGTATTAGTAAGTGCACGATGTGGGTTGTCCGCTCACTTACAAATACAAGTCTTACACTTGAACTTCATACGCTGTTCACCACACAGAGCTGTTTGCTGTTTATAAGCATCGGCCGAGCTTATTAAACGAACAGAGTACACGCTGTGTAACCACAGAAATATATAGAGACACTAATCTAACTACTAATACTATTAATTTCTTTGTGTGTAACACAAATAGTACAAACGACAGCCATCTTTGGTTTCGGAGTTAGATGGCACCCAACGCCGCGGTTGACTATTTCTCACCATGTCGAAGTGGCAATAACAGTCCCCATCTGCAACCAGTTGTACTGAAGCAAGCCGAGGAATTATAGGAAAAGAATAATATATCGATTTAATTTAATTTAATTCGTTTACAGGGCCGTGTACAGGATTTGTACCAGGGGGGAGGGGGTGATCTAACCGTAACCCAAACTTGCGAGCACGCGAAGGGGGGATCTGGGGTCTGGGCCCTCCTCCAGAAATTTTTTGAAATTAGACCCCCTCAGATGCGTTTTCTGCGCGAGCAGGGGGGGGGGGTCCGGACCCCCTGGACCCCCTGTACCGGCGTATTTGGACGCTCGCCCGAAACTGGACGCTCCTAAGTACGCATGCGTGCCAGGCGCCTCTTGTTTTGCCAAGAGAGCACCACAGCACATGCGCAATATGCGCAAGTAGTCTACTCCGAGCGTCCAAATAGCGGGGTAACCGGCATTTGACGCTCGCCCAACTGGAACGCCTCAATAAACTCTACTCCCTGATTAATGTTAATAATAATGTAATAATAATTGCAGGAGGAGCGAGCCCAGGAGGCAGGCAGGAGGAGGCAGAAGGTGGATTTGGAGTAGCGGAAGGAGGAGGAGGAGGAGAGAAGGTGCTTGGAGTACGGCGGAGGAGGAGGGAACGGAGAGGAGGAGGCCGCGGAGGAGGAGGAGAAGGTGCTTGAGTAAGAGAGTAGGAGGGAAGGAGCGACGAGAGGAGGAGGCAGAGGGCAGGAGGCAGAAGCGGGTTGGACGTAGGCAGGAGGAGGGAGGCAGGCAGGAGGCAGGACGGAGCCGAGGAGGAGGAGCAAGGGGCTTGCGAGTAGGGAGGGAGGGAGGAGGAGGAGACGAAGCGAGGAGAAGAAGGCAGGAGGCAGGCAAGTATGAGCGGAAGGTGTCAGGGAGGCAGGCAGGAGCGTGCTTTGAAGTACTGGCCAAGAGAAGGAAGGAGGAGGTGTGGAGTATGGAACCTTCTCCGCTCCTCTTCCTGCCCCTTCGCTCCGCCTCCTCGCCTACTCCAACACCTCCTCCTCCTCCTCTTCCATACTCAAACACCTCCTCCTCCTCCCTGCCCTCCCCTTACTCCTCCTCCTCCTCCTCCTCCTCCTCCTCCTCCTCCTCCTGCTCCACCTCCTCCTCCCTACTCAAAACAGCCTTCGCGTCGAATGCGTCCAGTTTCGAGGCGAGCGTAACCCGCGCGTATTTGGACGCTCGGCAGTATTTGCCGACGCTTCGTAGGCCAGTAATAGGGATTTCAGGCCGTTTTGTGTAGGGGTGTTTGAGCTAGCCGGAGGAGGGAAGAGGAGGGAGGAGCGGGACGGTGTTTGAGTAGGAAGGAGGGAGGAGAGGTGTTTGAGTAGCCGGAGGAGGAGGAGGAGCGTCAGGAGGGAGGCAGGATGAGAGAAGGTGCTTGAGTAGGGAGGAGGCAGGGGAGGAGGAGAGGAGGATGGAGGTAGGCGAGAAGTGTATGGAGTAGGGCCCAGGAGGCGGTAAGAGGGAGGAGGAAGGAGAGAGGAGGAGGAGGGAAGGAGAGGGAAGAGAAGGTGTTGGAGTAGGGAAAAGGAGCGAGGATGGAGGGGCAGGAGCGCAGGAGCAGCGAGCAAAATCCCTACATCCAACCCCTCCTGCCTCCCCTCCTCTCCTCCGCCTCCTCTCCTCCTCCCCGCCCGCGGGCCCCGGCCTCGCCCCATCACTCCCTCCTCCTCATTCTCCTCCTCCTCCTCCTCCCTACTCCAACACCTTCTCCTCCTCCTCCTCCTCCTCCTCCTCCCCTCCTCCTCCCTACTCAAGCACCTTCTCCTCCTCCTCCTCCTCCTCCTCCTCCTCCTCCTCCTCCTCCCTACTCAAACACCTTCTCCTCCTCCTTCCTACTCAAACACCTCCCCTCCTCCTCCTCCTCCTCCTCCTCCTCCCTACTCAAACACCCCCTACACAAACCCTAACCCTACTACATGCCTACGGAGCGTCCAAATACTCCGAGCGTCCAAATACGCCGGGGCGCGGTCACAGGTACCGGGCGGGTCGTATTTGCGACGCCTCGCCCGAAACTGGACGCTCATAAACTCTACTGCCTGATAATGTTAAGAATAATGGTTAATAATAATGTGCAGCGAAAGGCAGGCAGGAAGAGGCGACGAGGAGGAGGAGGAGGGAAGCGAGGAGCAAGGTGTTGGAGTAGGCGAGGAAGGAAGAGGAGAAGGAGGGAGGAGGAGGAGGAGGAGGAAGGCAGAAGGTGCCTTGAGTAGGGAGGAGGAGCCGAGGAGGAGGAGGCAGGCAACAGGAGGAGCGAGGAGGAGGAGGAGGAGAAGGTGTTGGAGTTAGGCGAGGAGCGAGGAGGAGGAGGCAGGAGGGAGGAAAGATGTGAGGAGTAGGGCGGAAGAGCTGAGGGAGCGAGGAGGAGGTGTTTGATGTACTAGAAGAGGAGGAGAGGCAGCGTGTTGGAGTAGGAACCTTCTCCTGCTCCTCCTCCTGCCCCTCCTCCTCCTCCTCCCTACTCCAACACCTTCTCCTCCTCCTCCTCCTCCTCCTCCTCCCTACTCAAACACCTCCTCCTTCTCCTCCTCCTCCCCTCCTCTTCCTCCTCCTCCTCCTCCTCCACCTCCTCCTTCCTACTCAAACACCTTCAGCGTCCGAGCGTCCAGTTTCAGGCGAGCGTCCAAATACGCCGGTACCCCGGCGTATTTGGACGCTCGGAGTATTTGGACGCTCCGTAGGCATGTAGTAGGGTTAGGGTTTGTGTAGGGGGTGTTTGAGTAGAGGAGGAGCGAGGAGGAGGCAGCGCGGAGGTGTTTTTGAGTAGGAAGGCAGGAGGAGAAGGTTCTTGAAGTAGGGAGGAGGAGGAGGCCAGGAGGAGGAGAAGCCCGTGCTTGAGCAGATAGGGAGGAGGCAGCGGGGAAGAGGAGGAGGGGAGGAGGAGGAGGAGGAAGGAGGAGGCAGGAGGAGGAGGAGGAGGAGGAGAGGAGGAGAAGGGTGTTGGAGTCTAGCGGAGGGAGGAGGGAAGAGGCATTAGGGTAAGCAAAGAGGGGAAGGCAGGAAGAGAAGGGTGTTGGAGCAGGGAGAGAGCGAGAGGAGCGAGCGGGCAGGAGGAGGGCAGGCAGAACGGTTGCTACTCTAACACCTCCTCCTTCCTCCTCCTCCTGCCTCCTCCCTCCTCCTCCTCCTCTCCTCCCTACTCCTCCTCCTTCCTCCTCATCCTCCTCCTCCTTCTCCTCTCCTCCTCTCCCCTCTTACCTCCCTACTCAAGCCAACCTACTCCTCCTCCTCCTCCCTACTCAAACACCTTCTCCTCCCTCCTTCTGCTACTCAAACACCTCCCCGTCCTCCTAAACCCTCCTCCTCCCTACTCAAGCACCTTCTCCTCCTCCTCCTCCTCCTCCTCCCTACTCAAACACCTTCTCCTCCTCCTTCCTACTCAAACACCTCCCCTCCTCCTCCTCATCCTCCTCCCTACTCAAACACCCCCTACACAAACCCTAACCCTACTACATGCCTACGGAGCGTCCAAATACTCCAAGCGCTCGCCTGAAACTGGACGCTCGGAATCGG